CGACGACTCCGATTTCCGACGTTGAACCCTTCCCTTGAAGCTCCGTTCACCTCTGTTTATCCTCTAAATTCTACACTCTTCCTTCTGTTTGCCTCCTCTCTTTCCATTTTGTGAGATCCTTGCGTTTCCGAAATCGCGTTTCCAAATCGGAAGCACTTGCTTCCAAACTTAGGTATCCTGGAATCGCGATTCCAATTGGGGAATCTTGTTCAATGGCTGTTTGGCGTGTAATCAGTCGGTCGTATCTCAACCAATTAACCAGGAGTTACAGTCTTGCTACCTCTCTTACTCATGTTGTAAAGCAGACAAAGTTGTTTTCTTTTGACATCCCGAATTCAGACATCTGTACAAGACCTTCACACATCTTCGGTAATGCCAGGTTCCTTGCCACTTCAGCTCAGGTACCCTTTATTAAAAGATTGTCTTTTTTCTTTTTTCCAGCATTGTGTTCTTCTATGTTGCTACTATGGTGGCTATGTAAGTTGCTTTTAAATTGCTTTGGTTCTCCAATTTTGGTTCAGTTCTTGTTGTTATATGTGTACTAAAGACATTCTAGCTGCAGTTTATAGGCTCTGTGTTGGATTTTATGCTTTAGGGTATTGGGTTGTATGTATTTATATTGTTTTAGTTCCTCGATCCTGTTGGCGAATGGAAGTTAGTGAGTAACGTTTTGGCGAGGGAGCTGTTATGTTTATCACTGTCAAAGTTGTTCATAACTTCATATCTCCATGATATTGTTTCAGGTAAGGAAGAAGGAAGAGGAAGTTAAATCCGATGGCCCACGTCTCAATGAGAAGATTACTGCCGACACTGTCAGATTGGTTTCCGAGGAAGGTAATTCTTGTTTCATTTTTTTCTCTCTTTTATGTACCAGATAAAGAAACAGCGCAAGAAGAAATATAACAACACATGCTTTTGTTAGTAAGTTCCGTTTTGGTGGAGTATATTTAGATAGAGTCCGTTAAAAGTCCGTTCGTTGTTCTTATAGGTTTTACTAAAGAAGTGGGTGTCATCTGCGCAAATTCAATAGTGATATCGTTTTGTTGTTATGCAGGACATTGTGTTGTATCGCTGAAGGAAGCCCTCAGACGGGCTAAGGAGCTCGAGTGTGACTTAGTTGAGGTAACTTGTTAATTGAAACATTTGTTCTTCTACAAGTTTTTTCTGAGGTTTATCACTTTATATATTTCTAAATCTGGTTTTTTTTTCTTTTTCATGTCTTGTAGGTCCAGAGAGATGCTAAGCCACCAGTGTGTAAAATTGTAGACTACTCGCAGGAGAAGTACAAAAAAGCTAAAGTAGGAAAGGAGCGTGCTAAGGCCAAGGTCTGCAATATGGCCTATCTCAAAAGTCTCCATCTTGTTTGTTCAAAATATAAGTTGTATTTGTGTCCTGAGTTTATGGTTTTACCTTGTTCTAGCGGGCTGAGACAACCATTCGACCTGAGGTCAAGGAAATTCGATTTACCCCCAAAATTGTATGTTTCCCTCTATGTTTCTTCTTCTTCTTCTCATCTGTGGGGTAATAAAAAACAGTACAATGATCACTTTCTTTTCTCTTCAGGAGGCAAAGGACCTTCAGTTTAAAGCGAAACAAGCATTGAAACTGATGGAAAGTGGATATCGTGTGAAGGTAATAATTTTCTTGGTTACTGAACCCCTTCATGGTTGCTTTATTTTTTCGTGGACTTTTGTTGGAAACTCTGATTATTTTGCGAGTGTGTATATATGTTAAAACATGATTGTTCCATGATGCTGCGGTATAAATCAAAGTCCCTAATAGATCGCCGCAATGCTGTTGTTTTTTGCTGGGTTTGAGGTGAAAAAAAGGAAAAATCCTCGGTGAATAACTTTCCATTTATCTCTCTTCCTTTCTTCTCTGTTTTGTGTAACAGTGTCATGCAGTTCCTGATAAGGACAAAAAGAAGGAGCTTGAACCAGAGAAGCTGCTTGAGTTATTATCTCGCTTCACTTGCTATGTAAGTCCCTACATTACGGCCTTTGACTTCTATTCGCATTGTTGTCTAGTTTTCTTGTCGTTGGTTTGGTTTAAATCCTTGGCTTCATATAGATAATTATATGGGTACAGATCGGAGATTCACTTGTGGAATTTGGGCCAACGGCGGATAAAGGCAACGCCGTTGTGGTAGTTAGACATGCCAAGTTTGGCCCACCCAAGAAAGGAAAGGCGATAAAGTTGAAGGAAATGAACATAAAAACTGCAGCCCAAATAAAATATGAGTCACCAAAGCCTGACACGGAAGACGGAGGGTCTACTGTTGATGATCTGGAAGATATAGAGATGCCTGAACGTGATCTCGATCTCGATGCTAAGCAGGCCCAACCAGTTCAAGGCCAGAACACGTATGCAAATAGAGAACCGGGCAGTGACTTCTCGGGAGGTAGAGATGCAAACCGGTTTGAACCTCGGTCTCCAAACCAGCCTGTAAACCCACAACGTCCTCGGTTCCAAAACGAAGCTCCAAACCAACAACCTAATGGGAGGTTCGGCCCTCAGTTTCCAAACCAGCCTCCAAGTCCACCACGGCCTCGGTTCCCAAACCAACAACCTAATGGGAGGTTCGATCCTCAGTCTCCAAACCAGCCTCCAAGTCCAGCATGGCCTCGGTTCCCAGACCAAGCTCCAAATCAGCAACCCTCGGGGCCATCTCCAAACCGCCACCTAGATCGGCAAGGTCCTCCACCTCGATTCCAAAACCAAGCTCCAAATGAACAACCTCCAGGTCGGTATGTACCTCAGCCACCAAAGCCTCCTCCCCGTGCTCCACCACGTCCACCAACCCGGTTACCAAACGAAACTCCAAACCAACAACCTACGGGACCTGGAAGATCTAGTGGCTCGGCTTCAAGCTATGGAATTTTCAGCACCCCAAAAACGAAGTAGAAACAACCGATTTAAAAGACTTTGCAATTTTTGTGATGCTTTTCCTGGGGCTCATAACTAATAGTCCATGCATACACTTGTAACCCTCACCAATTTTGTTTGGTCACATACTCTCAATAATATTTTATGAACAAGAAGATTAGAAACTAAATTCAAGACTGTTCTGGATCGCAGCAGAGGAAAAATAAGATTTATATAACAGAAATCAAGAGTAGTAACAAGAAGTGGGAAAATAGTAAAATACGTTATT